TATTTCCAATTTTACGGGTCACAACTCCTAGCAAGAACACTATGGGAAACTTGAAAAAATATCTAAAAGGTTAATGATAAACTATCTCATATAAAGTTTGTAAAATTTAAATTCAATTTTCAATACTACAAACAGTGTTAAGAATTCAATTATCTTTACGAATACAAAACAATTCCGAATAAAATGAGTGATTTCATGTTTTAAGTAGTTTGACATGAATTATTTTTCTACGCTTATTTCCATCTGTTTATTGTTGGGAAACCATTGACGTTCAGTGTGTGTTTACAGTATGTGTTTACAAATAAGTTATGGAGATTATTATTTTCACACGGTGAAGTCATGAATCACTCATTGTTAGTTCACTGTTAGAAACCTGGTAGCCCTGGACGGCCATCAACTGATGTTGTTGGAACCATCAGCAATGAGCATAAACAGCTCCCACTACTCGCAGGATTTGAACCCAGAACCTTCAGTCTTGCGCACGAAGGCTTAACTTAATTTAGTCTAATTTAGTACCACACACACAATAAGAATAACTGTTAAAGAATTGAATTTCACTCTAAGTGAACAGTACTCGATAATAATAGGAAATCACTATCAATATATATATATTTGATTATCGTTTTAAAAATATATTCGCTAGCCTTTTCCCCCCTCTTCGTGGTAATCTTGTCACAATTATCGAACCATGTATTTTTTTAATGAATCAGAAAACAAAGAATTATTTCGACAAGGCTTTTAATAATAATTGAAAGACTTGTGAATAACAAGTGAGTTGTGATGATGACCATGATGGTGTTTGATAGATGATAGCTGATTATGAGATGTCAAAATAAAATCTTTTAGTTGTGTAAAGTAATCATTAATGTATATATATTTATTGTAATTTGATCCTTTTTCGCGTAAAATATTCTTCCATGTGCATATTATATACATATGCATTATAAATACGTCAATATTTACAATTATTCATCTGTCACAATGGACATGATGTTATGATTTGAATAGATTAAAACAAATGAACAAATGTGTAAGATAAACCATGATATGATATGTTTGAAAGAATGATATGTTGTATTCTTAGATTAGTTGTAAAGAAGCAATTTGTAAGTAAGCTTATTTCTATTTGTAAATAACTGTATTGAATCAATTTATGTTTATATGCTAATATGATTCCGTTTTTAATTGTTGGGGACGTTAGATACCCAGAATTCACTTGATAAAGGCCTTAATTTTGGCTTTTATTCATGAGCTGGTCAGTTGACCTTGAGAGTACATTTCCCAAGAGGAAAACCCTTGGCTGTGATCAGTTTTATGTGTTATTTTAGTACGCTACTTTTGTGTCTCTCCCGAGGAATTTTCTATGGTATATAAGTAAATGCAGTTCGTGTGCTTAAGATCATTGTGCTTGCTGAGTGTATGTAGAATGCACTTTCTAAGCCATATCAAGACTTTTTCTTTAGTTAGTTGGAGCAACGGATCAGAGTAGCCTTTAGTGTCATTGGTCATTGTCTCGTTCTCATTTACCGACTAAGGTGAACTCGTAATAGTTTCAAGCACATCATGTGGGAAGCATAACATTAATCTTGTTGATATTATCAGTCAGTCAGCTATAAAGTAGTACTTCGTACTTACGTAGATCAGTCCAAGTTGACATACCGCATTAGCAAAGCGAGAACGAATATCAATTCAAAGCCCATATTAGTATAGGTAGTCGAAGTATAAGGATTACGGGAAAGATTAGATTTCGAAGATATTATTGAAGTATAAACCAGTGGAATGAATGAACCTTTGCTAATGCAAATGATTTTCATCCATGTCATCATAAGCCTCTAACCACCGATTACCATTTTCTTGCGGATCCCAATTAGGTAGTCTACATCAGTTCACTCGTCAGTGACTTGATAAACTTGTGCTATGTTTCAGTCTAACTGCCCTTTGCATTTTTTCCAATGTACTCCTACATCACGAAACAAAAGTAGTCGATGGTTGGGCACTCGAAACATATGTCTCAACCAACTGGGACTTATGAAGATTCATCACTTCATCAATTGATTTGCCTTCCTTATTTAGTTCTTTTTTCTTAACACCAAGATATACGAGCAATGATTCTATGACATCTAAGATTGAAAAACGTTAATCTACTAATATTCCCTACCCTAAGTGGCCATGGTTCACACCCACATAGAAGTAAAGTGCGAACTGTTGCACAGTTGACTCGTCCTTTGGTTAGTAAATGGATATCTCGCCCACGGCAATAGTGATGCAAGTTAGCAAAAGTGAGTCGATCAGACATCAGGCCATTAGGACTGATGAGGCTCCCAAGATAAATGAAGCCGTCGACACGCTCAACTGCTTCACTCCCTATCCATAGTTCAAGTGCCAATGCAAGCCAATCTGAGAGTGAGAGTATCGCATCTCAAACATACTTGTGTTGCTGGTTAAGATGTTGATAGAAGAATGTAATCAAAAAAACCTTTTATATTATATTTCCCTCTTTGCGTTTAAAACAAATTTTCGAATCAATAACATCACCTTGTAATCAAAACGACAATCTTGTCAATTATATTGTGAACAGAAAGATATAAGTAATCAATTACTTTTCGTCAAAAATTCAAAACAGTTGGATGTTTTAAAATTTATTTTGGGGCAGAGTTTTGTAGGTTTGTGTTTTTTGTACACATTTGAAATCATCAATCAATGATTGTTACTAGACCAACATTAGAAACCTCAATGCACTGGACGGCCGTTTCGTTCTGGTATGGGACTCATCAGCAGTGCGCATCCACGACTCCTGCTCCTCGCAGCATCCGAACCCAGGACCTTCGGTATTGTGCGCGAACGCCTACCCATCGGACCACTGGGCCGGAATCCAACAGTGTTAAATAATGTCTAACTATGATCGATCTAGGGATTTATTATTAGGTCCACCATTATAGGTAGTACTGAGGCGGTGAATATTAGTCATTTTAAAGACTTGTGGTTACTGAAAATGTAACAAAAATTCACCAGAGAAGAATGTGGTCAGTTCAGTACACTTTTATGCATGTTAATCAGGGTTGTGACATTAAGTCTATACTGAATCACCATCATTTACAAGAATATCGTATTTCTGTAATCTTATTCATATACTGGTACCACTTAATAGTTTTCATTTCACGAATTAATCTATCTCTGATTGCATTACACACGTCTATTAATAAGTTAACTGGGGAAATATTGCACTTTTCTTATATTAGAGTTTAGAATACCATATACCTCCGCGAATTTGATCAAGTTAGATATCAACACCATTGGATACCGGCTCAGTGGTCTGACGGCTAGGGCGTTCGCGCACAATACCGAATGTCCCGGGTTCGAACCCTGCGGGCTGCAGGAGTCGTGGATGCGCACTGCTGAGGATTCCCATACCAGGACGAAACGGCCGTCCAGTGCTTCCAGGTTTCTAGTGGTGGTCTAACATTGATCAATTCATGGTTTCAAAAATGTGTAACTAGAATTCTGTTCAATCATGTACGTGAATTATGTTCAGACGATGCAGTTGAAGCGGTGTTTAAAACCTCAATGAACTTTTGTTTAAATGAAAAATTTTGTGTCATAAAAATTGATAAATGAATTTGAAAACACGAAAAAAAATAAGAAAATTAATTCAATTTTACGATTTGGAAAAAATCATGTTTTTTTTTCTAGAACCTTGTTTGAAGCTTGTTGAAATTGCTTGAATGTTTCAGATTAAAGTTCATACATATACTCGACCGCCTAACACATCAAATAAAATACTCATTGTGATAATCAACTTTGAACAAATTTTCACCTTATGTTATCTTCAACTGTATCTACCTGTTCACATAGGTCCATACTTAATCACCACGAAAGCTAAAACTGAAATGACACCATCTCTCCATGTTTTTTTCAGTTAAATCATCTAAAATGTTGATATATTTGACCTGTCATTAAACGATCATTAGAAGAATTCTTTGAGATGTTCCACGATCATAAATTTTTGAAAAAAATCAATATTTACATATCAAACTTGGCTTTAATCAAAACGTTCCCGATGTAAAATCAACCAACTGAAGTGAATACACAAACCCAATAAAATTCATATTTCTTTGATTATACCATTAATAGTTCTTGTTTTATTGAAATTTTCCAAACAGAAATTGCTTACTTATTTGTTCACTTACCTACCTGGCCTCCCAAATGGAGCATAGGCCGCTGACCAGTGTTCTTCAACCTACTCTGTACTAGGCTTCCCTTTCCAGCTCTGCCCAACTTTTTTTCATTTTTCTCATATCTTTCTCTATTTCTAGGCGTAATGTGTTCCTTGGCCTTCCTCTTTTCCTTTCACCTTGAGGATTCCAAGCGACGGCTTGCCTTGTGGCGCATTCGGGTGCTTTCATCAATGTGTATTCTATCCACTACCAGCGTTTCTTCTTGATTTCTTCCTCCGCTGCAATCTCGTTTGTTCTCTCTCAAGGTAGGTAACTGCCAACGAATCCGAAGTATTTTGCGTTGACAACTGTTAATGAACACTTGTATCTTCTAGGTGATGGCTTTAGTACTTTTCCAAGTTTCCGCCCTATACATTAGAACTGTCTTGATAATCGTATTGAAAATTCTGATTTTGGTGTCGCTTAATAGTTGTCTTGACTATCAATTAACATAAATAAATTTTAATAAATAAAATCACCAGTTTATCGAAACACACTCAATTCGATGAATTCTCTACCCGATATATGTGAACTTCCAAATAAATGTGTTAAAAAACTAGTTTTGGTGTGTACATTCAAAGTATTTAGTTTTTTTCATATTGACTGAAAGATTCATTGTTTCCCGCCTTTTTTTCAATGTTTAAGTCTGTATGTAGTTAAATCAGTACCTGTTCGTACAATATTGACTTTTTGATTGAATTGATTCTGCACTGTTTTATCAATTTGATTACAGTTATTTTATAAAGTGACTAATGAATTTTTTAAACTTCATAATTTAAAGCTGACATGTTATTTATTGATAAATTTATTTCAGCCATACTTGAAGATACCTATATTTCTGGTTGGAATAGTTGGACTAAAAATGGTGACAAATATTTTGGAGTAAGTAATTGTTTGATTAGTGTTTTGTTGACTTTTTTTCGTTCGTTAATGTACACTAAAGAAGTAAAATTCACTTCAGTAACATCCAGTATCTTTATGAGGAACCTGTTGGTTTTAATACTAATGAGTAGAACTTGGAAAAAAGACTAAACTCAGTTTTATTAAATAATGAAACAAAGCTGGACATCATATTTGATACTGACAGCATTTGTAGATAGGCAGGCTTCTTATAGTGTCAATTATCTCAGCATTGTACACTCAAGCATACATATCTCAAGGGACGATGAATGTGTTATTAGTTTCTGATAAAATGGTTTAGTGGTCCAAGACTTGAGTTACAGCATCTCACTATTTATTCATGATAATAACTTTATTAATTAGTCGTTTAAATTATTCGATAATTGTATCTACCATTTGAAATCATCAATCAATCATTGTTAGACCACCATTAGAAACCTTGAAGCACTGGACTGCCGTCATGTCCTGGTATGGGACTCATCCGTGGCAGTGCGCATCCACGACTCTAACAATGATTTATTGATGATTTCAAATTTGTAAAAACACTTATCTCTGAAACTCTGGCCCAAAATATCGTAACGGTGCTTACTAGTGACTAGCTTCGTGAGGAAATTCTCGGAGTTCCAGTTGAGAAGACGTAACTAATGGAGTTCAACTCTGTCGGTTGTAGGCAGTAACTATGAAAGACAAATGATTGAGGTGGTATAAAATCCCTAGATTGATCAGAGTTACAAATTGACACCGTTGAATGCCAACCCAGTGGTCCAATGGTTAGGCATTCGCGCACAATACGGAAGGTCCCGGGTCCGAATTTTGCTAGGTGAAGGAGTCGTGGATGCGCACCGCCGATGACTTGACGGCCGTCCAGTGCATTGAGGTTTCTAATGTTGGTCTAACAATGATTGATTGATGATTTCGAAAGTGTAAAAACACAAACCTCCAAAACTCTGCTCGAGAGTTTATTTGTACCGAAGATGGACTGGAGTCAATTTTGGGCCAGTAAAACGGAAACAGCTAGAAAGAAATTTTACTTTATTAAAGAAACAGAAATGTTTTGCTAATTTAAAGCGTAAACTGCAAAAAAAGATGAATTTGAACATTGCGCTCAAAGGAGCAGAGTGAAAGAAACATCAACTATAATTAAAGTATCTACAATCATAGTTCAGAATGTAGAGAAGAAATGAAAGCGAAGAGAATGAATTATGTTCAGCTCGAGAGGAAGCTTGATTTTAAAAAGTTTAGTTTCAAAGTTGGTGAAAACCTTATGAAACCTTATGTACAAATTTAGACCATAGAGAAATGCTAAATAGAAGATTGAGTAGACTTTACTAACAACGATCATGACAAATTTAAGAAAGCTATTGATCATGTTCTGAGGTGAGAACATAAGATAAGATATTGGCAAAATTTATTCATATTAAGAACAAGAGATAAACAGTCAGTATTGACTCCGTGTTTCAGTGTTTGTAATAACACACTCTTACACTCTTAGTCAATTAAAAACGAAAACATTACATTAAACACTCTATTTGCACACCATCTTTGAGTCGTGACTTCCAACACTCCATCCTTCTTCCATTCCTGCTGTTGCTTCCTTTACTTCCTGTTGGTACTCCATTTACTTCTTGCTTTTGCTCCATTTGCTTTCCGTTTTCCTCTTGTGACCGTGAGAGTTCTTCTTTCACGTCCCTTCTTATACTACTCATATCGTTCGTATAAGTAGCACACACCACAGTATCACTGTTCATTCTTTTGATATCTCATTCCAATACTCGTCGTTATATGGTCTAAAACCTTCCTCTTCTGCTTTGGCCTTGAGGACTCCAAGTTAAGGCTTGCCCTGTGGCCCCTTTGGGTACTTCTTTCCTTAATATGTGCACCTTACTCACCAAAAAAAATGATTATTGTTCCTACATTTTGAAAACGATAATATCTTTTTTTTCATTTGCAATATCTTTCAACAAAAATACTAGTCACTCAAACAGTATTTATTAGAGTTGTAAATTGCGGTTGCCGGTAAAATCTAAAAAAAAAATACTTGCCTTGTTACCTAGCTACATTTATCTGTACTACAAAATTGCGATCACCTTAACATATTCATCAGGCCTCTTGAGTCTTGATTGACCAATCACATTTTTAATATGACAAATTTCAGTCTTATTTGTTTGTAAGAGATTGTATTTTATCATTTCTGATAATGATAATAGGCTCACTTACTTAACTATGATCTTTCTAAGTTGACCATAGTATAAAAATATCAATATGATACGTGAAAAATTGATTTAATTGTAGTTTTGATTTTATCAATTGAAAAAAAAAAGACACAAAACTTATGTACACCTTTACAAACAAAATCACAAACTACGTCAATCTTTTGCATTTTAATCAAAAATAAAATAGAATAAATAGCGTTTTAAAAATTAAAAGATGAAGACTCTTTTTGTTTTTCTCTGAAAACAAGACAAATTATCTAACAAGATGATCAACAAGCGTCGTATATAGGAAATTTTTCACGCTCAACTCAAATTATTCAATTAATTTCTAAATGAACAATTACGATACTCTAGTGTTTTTTGTTTTTTTTAATGAGAGAAATAAACATTGATATAATATACATTAAGTAAATTGGTTTGATGTTTTAGTTAAACGTAAGAAAAAATTAAATTATTCATGAATGAATCATTGTTGGATCACTGTGAAGCATTGGACAGCCGTCAATTGCTGGTATGAGACTTATCAGCAGTGTACATCTACTGTTCCTTTTACTTACAGGATTTGAACCAAGGACCTTTAGACTTTGTGTGTTATTTATCATAGACGACAATCTCCATGACCTTATAATTAAAAATCGTATAATAATATGCTCACTAGTGATTAGTTTCGTGAGGAAATGCACAGAGTTCTAATGAGAAGAATGGGATGGAATTCAACCCTGTCAGGTGTAGGGAAAAACTACCGAAGACAATGAGTGAGGTTGTGCACAATCCCTAGAGTGAACAAAGTTATACATTTAAAGCGTTGGAGAATAGGCGTACGCCCACAGGAACGAAGGTTATAGGTTCAATTCCTGCGAAGTCGTGGATACGCACTACTGATTATTCCCATACTAGTACTAAATGGCTGTTCAGTGCTTCTAGGTTTCAAATAGTAGCGTTACACTGATTAATTCATGACTTCAGTAAAAAAATCAAATTATATTCGTCCATTATTGGATATGCTAGAAATAATAATGATCCAAAATATTCATCTCAAATATAAGTTTGTTTTAAAAGAGTAATTGCCGGCATTCTGTTGCGGATGTTAGATTCTCAGAACTCGCTCGATAAATGTCTTTATTTTGGATTTACTTTATCAGCTGATCAGTTGACCTTCAGATCACATTTCCCACCAGGAAAGGCTTTGGCTGTGATTGATTACTGTGTTATTTTAGTGTGATATTTTGTGACTGTCCCAAGGACGTTTCTATGATGTATAAATAAACGCGATCTGTTTGCTTGGATTCACTGTGTGCTTGCTGGGTGTTTGTAGAATACACTTCCATCGCTATATCAAGACTTTTTGCTTGTTTATTTGGGTCAAGGGATCATGGTAGCCTACCTGGATGCTGGTTGATCGTCTCGTTCTCGTTTATCAACTAAAGTGAACTCGTAATAGTTTTAAGCAAGTGTAACAAGTGTAACACATTCGACCTTTTCTTAAATGACATATCAAATAGATGTATTGTTCCGTTTTAGTTAACTTAGAAATTACTTGTATAATGCACTCGTGGAAGCTCCTAGTTGAAGTGTCAGATATGAAACTTTGAAGTAGGAGGCGCATACCATAGAACTTTAGAGTTATATCATCACTATTCATTGAAATTATTTGAAAAAATATTTTGATTACAAGGATATATACATTTGATAAATCTTAACCAATTGTTTACTTTAACATTTTAATGTATATCACATAAGTCAGTTCAGTTATATTAGTCAACCTACTTGAAACGTAATTTCAAATGATTTCCTGAGTTTACAGAAAGGCACTTGTGAACAAGTGTGTTCCAAAATACTGGACAATCGTTGTGTAATACTGTTAATGACCTGAAATTGCCAATGTACTCAGATGAACAGCAACTCAGCAGTTTGCGGCGATTCCTAGTGAGGTCTCTTCTGATGAGTCCTATACTCGAACAAAACAGCTGTCCAGTGTTTGTTAGTTTTCAAAGATACCTGCTGAGGAGTCCCATACCAGGACGAAACGGCCGTCCAGTGCTTCCAGGTTTCTAATGGTGGTCTAACATTGATTGATTCATGGTTTCAAAAATGTGTAACTCAACAATCTTCACAACCCCTGTAGTGCAAATTACCTGTGCTCACTAGTGACTAGCTTCGTGAGGAATCTTCTCCGAGTTCTAGTGGGAAGACGTGATCAGTGAAGTTCAACCTGTTCGGGTGTAGGCAGGGTCTACCGAAGACTGTGTATGAGGTTGCGCAAGTCCGTGAATTTGATCAAGTTAGACATTAACACCGTTAGATACCGGCTCAGTGGTCTAACGGTTGAAGCGTTCGCGTACAATACGGAAGGTCCTGGGTTCGAATCTTGCGGGGTGCAGCAGTCGTCGATACTCATTGCTGAGCAGTCTCATACCTGGACGAAACGGCCGTCCAGTGATTTCAGGTTTCTAATGGTGGTCTAACATTGATTGATTCATGCTTTCAAAAATGTGTAACTTAACAATCTTCACAACTCCTGTAATACAAACTAAATGTTTGATTCAAGAAATCGAGAAAAAGGGAAAAGTATACCTGATGACAAACGGACATCGACATAAGTCCTTCTTAAATCTGTTATGTGTTTCTGTTATTTCTTGTTATAAGATTTAATTCTGAACAATTTTTTTATTAATGGATTCATCATATTTCTACAAAACTTTTAGTGGCGTTATCAAAGTTTAGCTGGAACAGGCCAAATTGTCTATGGTATATGTGAGAAAACTAATTCCCTATTGCATGACCAAATGAAACAACCACGGAAAGGATTATACAATCAAAGTATTCTAACTGAAACAAACTTGCCTTCCACAACATCATCATCATCATCACCAACATCTGTAGACAATGAAAATGTACCAAGTGAATTTTGGTTATTTAGTCCACTGTATAAAACAGATACAATATTAAATGTTCATTTTGAAATTACATATCAAATGAAAAGTTGTTTACAACTTGGTTATTTACATCAATCAATGCAATGTAGAGAACGTTTTGATATATTGGCTTATCATACTGATGTACATTTATCGTCTATGGTACCAAAGGTTAGTTTGATGATTGATTGATAATTTCAAGTGTGTTAAAACACTAATCTTTATAACTCAAATTGAAAAATCGTAAAATGTGTTCATTAGTGACAACTAGCTTCGTGAGGAAATTCTCAGAGTTCTAGTTGAGAAGACATGACTAATGGAGTTCAACCCTGTTAGGTGTAGACAGTAACTACCAAAGACAAATGGGTGAGGTCGCGCAAAAATCCCTAGATCAATCAGAGTTAGACATTAACACCGTTGGATGCCGGCCGACCCAGGGGTCCAATGGTTAGGCGTCCGCGCACAATACAGAAGGTTTCGTGTTCAAATCCTGTGAGATCCAGTAGTCGTAGATGGGCACTACTGATGTGTCCCACACCAGGACTTGACGGCCGTCCAGTGTATTGAGGTTTCTCAATGGTGGTCTAACAATGATTGATTGATGATTTCAAATGTGTAAAACATCAATCTCCTTAACTCTAATTGAAAATATGAATGTATTTGTGTTATGCTCGTCAATTGATATGCTTGAATGCTATTACGAGTTCACCTTAGTCGGTAAACGAGAGTGAAGACAAATGATCCAATGACACGATAGGCTACTGTAATCCGAGCGTCCCAAGGCCCTCATTAAGTAGAGGTGTAGAAAGCACCCAGAAAATATGAGGTTGACATGCACGAAAATCGAGTTTATTTATGCATCAAAGAAACTTCCTTAGGAGAGCTGCAAAAACAGCCTACTAAAATATTACATCAACCAATGACAGTCAAGTATTTTCCTGATGGGAAATGTAATCTCAAGGTCAACTGATGAGTCCATGCGCGAAACCCCAAAACGCTAAATTAGGACCTTATTCAAGTGAGTTCTGGGGATCTAACGCCCCCCAACAAGTTGTTTTCAATTCTGCTTGTTTCCAAATGTTTAACATTTAATTCTACAAAGACATACACACATGAATATTGTATTATATGCATACATCACGAATTTATATCACTTATTGACTTCTAACAATATTGATGAGTGTATCACTGTGAATTAGGACTACTAAAAAGAGGCTCACTCACGATTTCCTCAAAGTTCGAGCACAGAACTATCAGACTTCAATGTTAACTTGTTACCAATTAAAACAGTCAGTTGGAAGCATTAAGTCTATCCGTAAAAAAGTTACATATCGAATCTAAGCATAATTAGCACATTGTGTTGAACTCGATAAATGTCAAGATGAAAGTGATGTCTGACAGATTTTTTAAAATTAATTAAGATTTATGAATGATGCTTTTAGGTATGAGATTCAATAGGTTACATAATGGTTTGCCAATGAACTGTTTTTGAAAAAATTTGAACAGATAGTTTAATAACTACTGATAAATAGAAATGAAAGAGTTAATGTCTATATAGTATAAGTATATGAATAACACATTTGTAGAATACTATTGCTGATGTCAGACTGTTTTCGCTTATTGTCAAACATAAGTTGAACTAAATAAATTATTGTGAAATTTAATTTAATCTCTATGAAATGTTAAACAGACCTTCAATTCTAATTAACTTGTCAGTAAATATAAAAACATTTACTAGTTTATCACATGAAATGTTTAACATTTGAACCAGATTGGTGTGTACGAAAGATTCACCTGGAGGAGTTGCAAAAATTGTGTGATTTCGAATAACACTGGCTTCAGAATCGTAAGGCAACAAATAAACTCAAAACTCATCGCCCAATTATGCTCCTGCAGCATTATGGATTAGGCCTTTAAGCCATTTGTTCCTGCGATGACCGCCGAATAAAAAACCATTGATCGATCGCCTTTACAGCATATGTGTATTCTGTACAGATTGCCTTGAAAATGCCTTTACTCTTCAAGTATTATTTTTAGAGATGAATAATGGTTTCTGGTGAACATCAACTCTTAGATTTAGGTACGTCCAGTCAACTAGTCTCAAATAGGAGGAAAAGCTAGACGAAGATTCTACTTATTTACTTACTTGCTTACTTACTTACTTACTTATGCACTTATGCACTTATGCACTTACTTACTTACTTATGCACTTACTTACTTACTTATGCACTTACTTATGCACTTACTTATGCACTTACTTACTTACTTATGCACTTATGCACTTACTTACTTACTTACTTACTTACTTACTTACTTACTTGTTTACTTACTTACTTATTTACTTACTTACTTACTTACCTACTTACTTATGCCAGTTACCCCCGATGGAGCGTAGGCCACCGATCAACATTCTCCACCCTACTCTGTCCTATGCTTACCTTTCCAGTTCTGCCTATTTTTCTGTTCATTCTTCATTGTCTACATTTCTCGAAGTAATGTTTTCCTTTGACCTTGAGGTTTCCAAGTGAGGGTTTGTCTTATAACGCACTTGGTTGCCTGGAGCCCCTCTGGAACTGCTGCCGCCCAAAAGCCCGTATGAAGGAGCAGGTTTGAGCCTGAGTTTGGCAACCCGGAACAATAGAAAACTAACTCGCTACAAAAACGCTGACCAGAAAAAAATAATCCAAACTTAGATTCTACTATTAGCCACTATCATATCACTAAAATATGATTCCTTTGAAGAAAGCTGTTTTTTTTTTTCTACGTAAAAAGTTGTTTAACACAAATGTTACTTAAAAATTCTAATTTTGTCATGCTAAACAACATGATTCATTTGGAAGGGAAATGCATTTACATTATTATAAGGTAAATCAGTAGTGTGTTTTTTATATCAGGTCTCTATGTCAAAATTGTCAGCTTTAGAAAAAAAAAACGAAAAAAAAAACCACTTAACATTAATTGAACAAAAACACATTTCTAGTTTCTTTGTTTATACAAACATGGTTATTCAAATGATGTTTTTTTTGTAGGCAGAAAAACGAACAAAATGTGTCAATTAGTTGATTTGATATTTATGCTGTAGAGTAAAAAATAGTGTCAATTGATTGAAATGAGATCTATCAGTGAATACAATTATCTTCATTATTGTAATATTTCTGAATATATATATATATATATATATATATATATATATATATATATATATATATATGACAGAAAAGCTTTACGATAGATAGGGTTTATGGCGATGGTTGTTATGCCTGCACGTAAACACGTCAACTTGATATGCTTGAACGATTACGAGTTTACCTTGGTCGGAAAACGAGAGCGACGATCGAGCATACGGTGACACGACATGCTACTCAAATCCGATTATTCCAACCCCCATGTTGTGTAAAAATAAGAAGACTTGATATGAAGTAGAGCTTGTATTCTACAAGCATCCAGAAAGTATGAGGTCCGAATCCAGAAGAGAATCAGGATCCCGCACTAGTGATCCGGGACCGGGTCCTGGTCATAAAACGTTACAGATAATGTGTATTTATACATTTTGGTCGAATAGGAAACAGCATCGAAGTCTGTGACATTGACAGTTAAGACGACCAATAGGAAGTAATC